AGCCAGGCGGTGGTGGCGCACGCCTTTAATCCCAGCACTCGGGAGGCAGAGGCAGGCGGATCTCTGTGAGTTCGAGGCCAGCCTGGTCTCCAAAGCGAGTTCCAGGAAAGGCCCAAAGCTACACAGAGAAACCCTGTCTCGAAAAACCAAAAAAAAAAAAAAAAAAAAAAAAAAGGAATTTATTCTGTTGTTTTCTCATGCCCTATATTTCTAAGAACACGGCAGCTCTTCCCCTTACTGCTCATGCGGATATGCCTACTCTTTTATGTAGGGCCAAGTATTAAGATTCTTCCTCTTCCGTTTTCAGCATTTTTGAATCTACTTAATTCAGCTGTTCTTTGGCTTCTGCTGTCCTAACACTTACATATCAATGCTTCTCAGTTCTCACGAGTTTCTAGTTATTAAGTCAAAGAACAGACTGCTTCGAAGCAGTTTTTAGGGATGAGGAGATCTGTCAGTCAGTAAAGTACTTGCTTTACAAGCGTGAGGACCTGACTTCCATTCCTAGAATTGTGTAAGAGATCTGTGCTCAGTGGCACACACTTGTAATACCAGCACTGGGCTGGGGGTAGAGACAGGCGTATCCTTGGGGCTCCCTGCCCAGACAGTTCAGATCTTGACAAGCTCCAGGCCAATGAGAGACCTTGTCTCAAAAATCAAGGTGGGTGGCACCTGAGGAATGACGCCTGAGGCTGACCTCTGGCCTCCACGTGCACATGCCACATAAGCAGGCACACCCCTGCACACCTGTGTACCCACATGCACATGCATATGCACACACAAACATACATATAAAAAAAGCAGTTTTTAGACTCTTGGAAAATGGAGCTGAGAGTCCGGGGTTTCTATATTCTTCAGTGTTGTTAATCCTCAAGTAATGTCTTGCTACATTCTTTCTGCCCTCACTTTCTGGGGCTCTTCTACCGTAGCTCCTGTGTTTCTTGGCTCAATTCTATCTCTCCCTGCTGCACCATAGGTACCTTCTTCAGATCCTTCATTACATGGAAATTTCAATTGAATAGGAGAGATTTTTTTTTCATAGACATTTCATATACATCACTGGGATTAAAGGCATTTGCCACCCAAGTAAAGATGTTCTGTTTGGGAATGGGGTTTCATTCTGTAGCCCAGGCTAGCTGGGAACTTACTAGACATCCTAAGATGGCCTCAAACTCATGGTAATTCTTTTATGTCAGCCTCCAGAGTGGAGAGTTTACAGGCATGAGCCACCACAACCTGGCTTTACAGTGGGTTTGGAAGTCTAGGAATTCACTCAAAGCATTTCATCTGCCTTTAATGATGGCACCATCAATTCAGAAACACTTTAAAATTCATGGTTTGAGGGTGTTTGGAGGACCACTCAGATCATGTGAACACGATGCTATCTCCAGTCTTCTACGAGACAAACTTGCAGGCATGCCTGTGAGGGAGTTTAGAGACTGTGTTAACTAAGGTGGGAAGACCCAGTCAAAATGTAGGCAGCATGGCTCCATGGGCTGTGGTCTCGAATGAAATTGAGGAAGTGAGCCGAGTGAATACCACCAGTCATCTCTCTCTGACTGTGACTGGAATGTGACCAGTTAACACCTGCCTTCTCCACCATGATGCTCTGCACCCTCAGACTGTGAGCCAAATTAAACCGTTCCTTCCTCAGCCTGCTTTTGGGACAGCATTAGGAGTAACTAATAGAGACTGGGAACCACACAAGCAGCCTGTGGCTAAAGGTTTCTGGGGACTCCCCTTCAGGCCTTGTACTTTTCAGTGTGAAGCCAAGTTTGCTGGCAGGCCCCAGGGCCTTGGAATAAGTGGTAAATCTGTCACTTAGAACTTGTAAATGAGCATGTGGGGGTGTCTTCTGCTGAATTAAAATGATACTGATTGGCGAGATTGTTTAGTGGTTAAGAGCACTTGCTGCTCTTGCAGAGGACCCAGGTTTGATTCCCAGAATCCACACGGTATGCCACAACCATCTGTTGTAACTCTAGTTCCAGGGGATCTGACACCATCTTCTGGACTCAGAGGGGCACCAGACATACATGTGGTTCACTTTCATACAAGTAAACATTCATATACATAAAAATAAACAAGGCCGGGCGGTGGTGGCGCACGCCTTTAATCCCAGCACTCGGGAGGCAGAGCCAGGCGGATCTCTGTGAGTTCGAGGCCAGCCTGGACTACCAAGTGAGTTTCAGGACAGGCGCAAAGCTACACAGAGAAACCCTGTCTCGAAAAACAAAAATAAATAAATAAATAAATAAATAAATAAATAAATAAACAATGTTATTAACAAATACATCTTTATGAAGCGTAATATGTTTTGTTTTTGCATTGTATAATTAAATCAAGCTAGTTAATACATTTTTCACTTCAGACTTTTTTCATGTGTATGATGAGAAATTTAAGATCTATTTTAGCTATTAGAGTTTTTAAAAAGTTTTCTTTAATTAGTTCATTGTCCAAGGTGGTAGGAATTTTTTTCCCCAGAGTTGAGGACCGAACCCAGGGCCTTACACTTGCTAGTCAAGCGCTTTACCACTGAGCTAAATCCCCAACCCCAGAATTTTTTAATCGATTTATTTTCTTTGTTCTAGTCTTTCACATTTGAATACTTTAAAATTCACATTACTAGCCAGGAGTGGGGGGATGGGGTGGTGAGGAGGTGGTGCGCGCCTTTAATCCCAGCACTCAGGAAGCAGAGGCAGGCAGATCTCTGAGTTTGAGGCCATCCTGGTCTACAGAGTTGTTCCAGGGGAGTCAGATTTACACAGAGAAACCCTCCTATATTGAAAAATGAAAAACAACAACAACAACAACAAAAAATTCACATTATTTTTCACACTTGAAAAAATGGTTATCAAGATGGTTCCCCATGGGCATGCTAAGAGGCACAGGTCCACATGATTCTAGATTTTCGCAAGTTGACAGCACTTATCACAGCTATGGAATCATTTCTTGTCACTATGTGGAGCTCTCTTCAATTAAGCTGCCATATGTAAGTGAATTTATTTCAGAGCTGGGTTTAGGGTTTTTTGTTTGTTTTGAGACAGGTTTCTCTATATAACCCTGGCTGTCTTGGAACTCACTATTTAGCTGAGGCTGTCCTCAAACACAGAGAAATTCTTCTGCCTCTGCCTCCTGATTATTTCAGAACTTTTTTGTTTTTAAATTCTACCTGCTTGCTCCTGTTCTTATGAACTTGTTTTATGGTATGTCTTAATTTTTGGTCCAGTAAATTGCTCCCTTACACTTCTGTTTGTGGTTACTTTTGGCAATTAGCAGACCTTTCTTTTCATTTATTTACTTATTTACTTATTATTTACATTCATGGTATTCATTAATTACACTCATAATATTCATTAATTATACTCATAATAATTACATTTGTGGTATTCATTGATTACATTTGCAGTATTCATTCAATAATTATATTTATGATACTCAATAATTATATTAATTGTATTGATTTTACAATTATGATATTATGTCCTGATACTACTGTCCATTTGTGGGACTTTTCCATCACATAAAACAGAGATTCTGTACTTAGAAAATCATTGTTCTATATTCCTCTCTTCTCCATCTTGAGATAACGTCTAATCTTTCTATCTCTATGAATTTGTGTAGTCTATATATTTCATGTAATACAATTCTATAGTATTTGTCCCTTTTTTAAAATGTAAAACCATTTTATGTACAACTGCAGGAGAAATAATACAGAAATAGCTTGAACATAAAAACAGGTTATAATTCAAGTCCAGGGTTATTTTAAACATTCAGTTCTTTTCATCTACCATACTGGCCACAGGGATTAAACATAGGTTGCCAACGCTTGGCAACAGGTGCCTTCAGCCACTGAGCCATTTTGCTGGCACCCACATGGCATCTTATCTGTTTAGTTGACTGTTTTCCTTACTAATGCAAGTCTCTAGAGCACAGGACTCATATTTACCTCTAGAGTCTCAGGACTACACACAATAATCTAGGACTTAGGTTTGTTTAAACACTTACTAACTTGCATGTGGGTGCACGCATGGACAAATGGCATGCAGGTGGAGGTGAGCACAACTTGTGCAAATTGCTTTTCTCCTTTTACTATGTGGGCTCCAGAGATGGGACTCATGTCATCGGGATTGGTGTCAAACACCTGTGCCCACAGAGCCATCTTGCTGGTCCCTTAGGATATGTAATCCATTATTCACAACTAAATAAATGAGATGGTAACTAATGATATGTTTGCAGATGACAACTGACAAAACATATCGCTATCCCCTAGATAAGATGAGATGTGTTGTCAATAAAATCCCCAAACTAGAACGTAACCCTGACTTGGTTTCTCTTTGTGTGTTTCTAGGCTTCCAAGCAACAAAACAGATCTCTAAAACAGATCCGGAAACTCAGAGGTAAGAATGATTCTATCCTTATGGGTCAGCTCAAGGCTGATGACGGATCAACTGTGGACCTGCTTTAGGACTCTTTCCACTTGAAGTGGAAGAAAGTTGAAAAAGAGGGTGTGCCTGGAGAGTACGCCCATCTCTCTGACATCTTTCCTTCCAAAGTCAGTCAGACAGCTCCATCCTCCATTGTTTCCTTTCCTCGGGCTTCTCTGTCCCTACATCTTCATGTAGAGCCCAAAGTATGGGAGAGGAGAATGGACAAAGATGAACTACCAAGAGTTTGGTGCAGGAGGTCCATTACCTTTATTCCTCTACCACAGATGTGGATGTGGGACAGACATCTTTGAAAGGGAAGATGTATCGGGATCTCTGTGTTCCCATAGTACTGCATTCCCAGTCTGGGCTTCTCATGGGTCACTTCTAGTACATGATGAAGACGGGATAGTATGCTTAAAAAGCAAAACAAAACTCGATAGCTGTGCTGTACCACTCATCAGCTTCACGATGGGTGTGACTTCATCTTTGCTCCCCTAATTGTTAAATGAAGGGGGTTCTGTTAGATGACGTCAGCAGTCACTATGCTAACAGTTTCTTGGCTCCTGTTACAGTTTCATGGTTGGAAGAAACAGAGATGAACGTCAGTGTAGCTGATCTGACACGGTAAGCAGAGTCTGTCTACAGACTGTCCTGTGACAAATACCCATGTTGACTAGTTTCCTGTCAACTTGATACAAGCTGCCATCATTTTGGAAGAGGGAACCTTAATTGCCCCCCCCAGATTGCCCTGTGGGCAAGCCTGTGGTACACTGTAGATGTAACCAACCGTCTTATTAAATAGAAACACAGAACCAATGCAAAGAAGAAAGCCAAGAAGTCAGAGCTAAGAGCAAAAACCTTACCCGTCCTCCTGTGGTGGTCCTACCTCTCTGAAAGAGAGCTACTTCCTGTGTTAAAGTCTTTATATAGACTTTATGCTTTGCCTTCTCATTGGCTGTAAACCCAACCACATGACCGCCTCGTCACTGCCTGTCTGTACAGATCTCCAGGTCTTCTATGGTTGGTATTGAGATTAAAGGCGTGTGTATCCAATGCTGGCTGTATCCCTGAACACAAAGAGACTTACCTAGCTCTGCCTACCAAGTGCTGGGATTACAAGCGTACACCACCACTGTCTGGCTTTCCTATAGCTTGCTAATAGCTCTGACTCCTGGGCAACTTTATTTATTAACATACAAATAGCATTTTAATACAAATAAAATATCACCATAGTATATTTTCATTTTTTTTTCTGTTTTTCTTTCTTTCTTTTTTTTTCAATGTATAACCCTGGCTGTCCTGGAACTCGCTCTGTAGACCAGGCTGGCCTTGAACTCACCTGTCTCTACCTCCCGAGTGCTGGGATTAAAGACATGTGCCACCATGCCTGGCTGCATTCTGTTAATTGAAGATTGATATTGGAAGGTCCAGCTCACTGTGAGTGGTACCACGCATGAGCTAGTGGTCTCAGGGGGTACAAGAAGGCAGGGTGAGCAAACCATGAAAGCAAGCCAGTAAGCAGCTCCATGGCCTCTGGATCAGCTCCTGCCTCTTGGATCCATCTTGCCCTGAGTTCCTACCCTGACTTCCCTCAGCAATGGAGTATGACCTGAGTGTTGTAGGCTGAAACAAACCCTGTCCCCCCAACTTGTTTATGTTCATTGGGGTTCATGACAGCAATAGAATTCCTACCCGTGACACCATCTTCATTGTGAATGCTGTACGTAAAATACCTGGCACTCTGACTTCATTTACTCTGAGAGCAATTGCCTCCTTCCTAAATTATCTTTCTATTCCTACTGCAATGTCACTTCAGTTCCACTGACATATTCTGCTGTGTCCAGTATTTCAGGACTTCCTACCGACTGGACCCAGGAATATGTACTCTGGTCAATAGACAGGAGTCTTGGACGGATCCTCCAACATCTGGATAATGCAAGGTCAGGAAACAGAGTCACAAGGCAGGGGGCTGAGTGGGGGTGGGGGGAGAGAGGGGGGGAAGAAGAAGAAGAAGAAGAAGAAGAAGAAGAAGAAGAAGAAGAAGAGAAGGAAGGAAAGAAAGTAAAGGAAGGAGGTAAAGGAAAAAAGTTAGTTTGAAAAGCAGTGGAGAACTATTTTGTGAGCTTTGTTTTATGTTTTATCTGTATGGATATTTTCCCCGCAGGTAAGTATGTGTACCACATGCATGCCTGGTGTCCAGAGAGATCACAAGAGGGTATATGATCCCCTGGTACTGGAGTTACAGATGTTTGTGGCCTACCATGTGTGTGTTGGGATTCAAACTTGGGTCCCCTAGAAAGGCAGTCACTCAGTCACTGTTCTTAACCTCTGGGCTATTTCTTTAGGCCTCACTGTGTAAATATATGTATGTAGCTGGAGTTTTCCTGCCTGGCCCACAGTCAGGATAAATCTCTCTTACCTGCCAGTCCCACAGCCGCTCAGACCCGACCAAGTAAACACAGAGACTTATACTGGTTACAAACTGTATGGCCGTGGCAGGCTTCTTGCTAACCGTTCTTACAGCTTAAATTAATCCATTTCCATTAATCTATACCTTGCCACATGGCTCGTGGCTTACCAGCATCTTCACATGCTGTTTCTCATCGTGGCGGCTGGCAGTGTCTCTCTGACTCAGCCTTCCACTTCCCAGCTTTATTCTCCTCCTTGTCCCGCCTACACTTCCTGCCTAGCCAATGGCCAATCAGTGTTTTATTTATTGACTAATTAGCAACACATTTGCCATACAGAACATCCCACAGCATATGTATGTATTTTATTCATTTGTATTTTTTTGCATGTGTGCACATGGATGCCACATCATGTATGTGGTGGTCAGAGGACAAGCCACAGGAGTCAGTTCTCTCCTTCCAACATGTGAGTCTTAGGGCTCAAACTCAGGTCATGCCAAGCACAGGTGTGCGTGTGTGTGTGTGTGTGTGTGTGTGTGTGTGTGTGTGTGTGTGTGTGTGTGTGTGTGTTGTGTAAAACTTGGGTGTCATTTCTGGGAGCCATCCACCTTGTTTTGTGAGATAGAGTCACTCCCTGGGACTCACTGATTAGCCTTGGCTGTCCAGTGAGGCCCAGGGCATCTACTTGTCTCTGCTTACCCAGCATTAGGACACTGTGTTCTTTTATTTTCCTGTGGGTTCTAGGGATGGAACTCAGCTTCTCTATTTGTATAGCATGCACTCTATTGACGGACTCGTCTACTTTGCTCTTGGCGGAGGAATTCTTGACATAAATCATTGATGTTTGTGGATGCAACCCCTCTTTTCCTTCTTCTCTCCCTTAGACTAAAAATATTTTGGATTTGAACTAGACACTCCCTCCCTTCTCTCTAACTTCCCCTACTGATTCCAAAGAAAATGAAAACATTTCTCTTTGTTTCTCAGATCAACACTTATGGAGCTGAATGTTTCAGAATCCCGAGATCTGACTTCTTCCTCCGTCTCTGACAGTGTGGTTCAGGAGATTGTCCCACCCAGCTGTTACTGTCAAAAGGGAAAGACTTCTACTGACTACAGCATGTCCTCTGCATCATTCAACAACAGCTCGAGCCTGTCTTATCTTCCAATGTTTCCTGAAGGGACAGCTTGGCAATTCCAGAGCGATAGTGGACCTGTTTCCTCCCAAAAGGAAGCATCTATGCCCAGGAGCCCTGGCACATCCCTGCCTACTTCTCAGCTGACAGATTCTGCGAAATCAGATCTTTCTCCGAATTTGGCAGTTCTTCGTCCCTTACAAGCTCAAACTTCCTTTATGAGCTCTATTTTAGAATCCTTAGATCCTTGCGAACAAGAGAAAACAAAAGATAAGAGAAAGACTCATTTTGAATCAAATCATGGGTCAGATTCTGATTTGGATGAGAGTCCAGGACCCCTAGTATGGGCTCCACTCCAGCTCTCTCCTTTGATCAGAGGAGAACTGGAAGGACATATGTCTCAGAAGGTTTCTACTTTGCAGCAAGAAGTGGTGCCTCTGCCTGTGAAGAAATCCTGGAACATACTCAATCATTTGATGGATGTACAAGGAGTCCCTGAAGAAGAGCTCCCGAAAACTCAGTTTCCTGCACTCATCCCTGTGGGGATGTTGAGCAAAATACCAACACATCTCCAGATCCTCCATCATTTCATCTCCACGTGAACATTGGGGTGAATTCTGAAGTCCATAGGACGGAAGCAATCATTTCACAGCCATTTCCCTCAAACAGGCAGTCACAACCCGAGGATGACCGCCAAGAACTTAGATATAATCCTTTAGTTATATCAACGGGCACTCCATCTCCCAGAAATCTAGGAGTTAACATAATTCAGGAAGAACAAGCTTTAGTGAAAAAGGATTCAAAGCATGTGTTAGAGCCGAATATAGAGCAGAAGGTCATAGGTCTTCCAGAAAAAAAGGGTACAGACACATAAGGCACAACTAACTAATGTGGAGCTGACACCCAAGATACCACGTTCAGCCACTGACAGAATAAAGGTCACTCCATTGGCATTGCTTCAGGTTATGGACTTAATGGGAATAATCCCAGAATCACAGTCGGAGCTGATAGACTCTGTGGGGTTTTCCCCAGAGCCGCCAAATCAAGCAGAAACAGTGGGGATAACTCCTCAGCCATTAGTCAAGCAACTGAACCAATAAAAGGAACCCTTCATCAGCATCAAACCACGGAATTAAAGAGCATGGCCTCAAGACTGAGTCAAGTCACAGATAACCTGGAGGTAACTCCTGTGGCATTGTTTCACGTCACGGATTCCATGGAGATGATTGACAAATTAAGTCCACATGGCATAGAACCAGTAGGAGTAGCCCCACAGCCACAATACCAAGTCATGGAATCAGTGAAGATGGATACATTGCATAACTATCAAGCCATAGGACCAGGAAGTATGAGTCGAGGGCCACAGCAGACAGTTGTGGAAGCTGTGGAAATGATCCCCCAGCCTCAGCATAAAGACATGGGAACGCTGACCATGACCTTGGGGTCACAGAATCAAGCCTCAAAACACATCAGGATTACTCCCAGTCCAGTACATCAAAATGCAATGGAAATTAGCTCAAGTGCACTGCCTGAAGCCACTGAAGATACAAAAGTGTCTCCAGGGGCAAAACAAGCCATGGATTTCATGCAGATATTTCCACTAGGACAGCCACACATTACTAAATCTAGGGCTTTGATCCGAGGCTCACAGCCTCCAGCTGAAAATTTGACCCCAGTGTCAGCTCAACCAGAGTTCCGACTACTACTGTCCCAGCAGGAACTGTAGAATCTAGAAGCGTACCTCCACAGCCACCATCTAAAGTACTGGAACCATCAGGAATGACTGATGACCTACTACCGTCATGTCAGTCCCTGCATGCTCTAAAGGTGACCCCACCAGTCCAGGCATCTCCGACGGGAATGATCACACCACTACAAATTGTAGAGCCTCAAATCAAAGAGTCTCTGCAATTGACTTCTGGGTTACAGGGTCAAGTTGAAGACTCCGTGGGGACTATGCCACAACCTCAAGGCACAGAGTGTGTGTCACTGACTCCAAAGTCACATCATCAAATAATGGAATCCAGGAAAGCAATCCCAGCACCACCAGATCAAGGTGCAGCACCTATAGGAAGGGGCCAAAAGCATCAAGTTCCAGAAGCTGAAGTAGTGCCAGTCATACCACTGCTTCAGGAAATGGAATATTTGGGGGGGGGAGCACAATCCCACAGCCTAAGGTTAGGGATTCAATGGACTTTCCTACAGAACTACAGAATGTAAAATCTGAGCACCTAATCCCGGATCCAAGATTGCAAAGTGTGAAATCTGTGGACATAACCACAGATTTAGTCCCAGAAATGGAAAAATATGGACCACCAACCTCAACAGTGGTATGTATAGATTTGGCCCCAGAACTGCATCAGCAGAATACACAATATGAGGAATTAACCCCCATACCACAACTGCAAAGTGAGACATCTGTGCCATCGGCCCCTGAGTCTCAGTTTCAAGATATGAAATCTGGCCAACTGACAGTTGAACCACAACACCAAAACAAAAAGTCTGCTGGGTTGGCGGCAGGTCCACAATTGCAAAATAATAAATCAGTACATTGGATCCCCGATTATCAGTCTCAAGGAATGGAAGAAGCTCTTTCAGCCCTATCACAGGACATACATTTAGAGACCATCACTTGAAGCTATAACATCTGTGGACTTGGCCCCAGAACCATGTTCACAAACATTGGTTCTGATAAGATAGCCCCTGTACCATTGCTTGAGGATACAAAGACTCCATTGGTAGAAGGTAGGAATCTAATTCCTGAGGCACTGGTGGAGAGTATGGAAGTTGGTGAACTGATCCCAAGCACATACTTTGATGCAACAAAATCTTTAGAAGCGACCCCCAAACCAAGTTATCATTTCCTAGAACCTGAAGGACTGACCCTACAGCATCCAGCCTCAGAAGCAAGAGTGACCTCTGAACCTTGCCAGCAGGTGGAAGAATCTGCTCCGTTGCCACAATCATCATTAGGGATGACTCCAGCACCATTGAGCCAGAGCTCAGAATCTGTGGAGATGAGCTCACCACCACTCCAAGATACTCTTGAACCTGGGACCCAAGTTGTAAAAGAGATGGAAGAGACTCCAGAATCAGGAAGTGCAATTAAAGATACTCTGGATTTGCTACTAGATTCAGAAGTGCAAACTATGACCTCAGGAGTGATGGCCCCAGAGCCACAGCCCCCTGATGTGAAGTTTGTTCAGGTGCCTCCAGAAGCGTGTGCAGAAGTTACCAACCCATCGGAAATAACTCTGAAACCAGAATATGAAGACACAGAGACCTTCAGATTGACATTCTCTAAAGTCGATGATACCCAGGGAACCATCATAGTGAGACCTCTGGAGTTTAGTCTAGAATCAGGAGTGCAAGGTGAGAAATCAGAGTCCTTTGCCCAAAATTTGAAGTCTGCAGAAGTAGAACTACCCTTACAAGTTGTAGAACCTACAGTACTAACTATAGGACAAAAACCACATATTAAAGATGTGACCCCAAAGCCACAGCTCCACAAAGTAAAGTCTAGGCAAATGGATAGAGATTCACAGTTGCAAAATGAGAACTCTGTAAATGTAATACAGCCGTCATCTGCAGGAGAGGTAGATCCTGAAAAGACAAAACCAGAGCCATGTCTACAAAGTTTATCACCGAAGGAACGGATTGAGGGAACACAGCCCCCAAATGTGAAATCTGTGGATTTAAATCTAGGCCCACAGAAGCTAAGTGTCAAATCGAAATTGATTCCAGGGCCAAAATTGCAAAGTGTCCAGTTTCCAATGTTATATCAAGGGCTACTTCTTCAAGGGGAAAACCCAGTAAATTTCATCTCAGGCCCCCCACATTATGGTGTGAAATCTCATGAAATCTCATGATGAAATATCATGTTTCCTGGGGCCAGAAACCACATCATCAGATTTTATCCTGGGGCCAAAGCTTCCAGAACCACAGCCACAACCACAACCACAACCTGGTAAACCGGTATACGTAAATGTAAGACCATGCTTGCAACATGTGAGATTCTCTGATGCAATCCCAGAGCCCAAACACCAAGGTTTCAAATGTGTAACCTTCATGCCAGGTGTTCAGCTTCAAGACAGGAAGCCTCAGGGATTGATGCCAGAATCGTTTCTGCCATTAAGCCAAGAGACACAGGTTGAAGATAAGAAGCTTGTGATGCCTCCGAAGTATCAGAATTTTGCAGCGTGAAACGCCCAATCCCAGCCTCTGAACTACAACATCCAAGAGTGATAGCTAAGCAGGTCAATCCAGGACTGTGGCACCAAGATACCAAATTTTCTGCGTTGGCTTCTAGGCCGAAACTACCAGGGGTCAGATTTGGGGAGCAAACCCCAGGATCATTGTCTTATGGTATGAGTCCTATGACTCCAGAGTTAGGGATACACGATCACAAATCAGCAAAGGCAACTCCAGGGCTACAAGACACAAGGCATGTGAGTTTAACTCGGGGCCATGGCTGCAGGATGTCAAATTTTTTTATGTAATTCCAGGAACTCAACCTCAAGGTGTGAAGATTTCAGAGTTAAACTCAGGGCCACAGTTAGAGTGTGTAAAAATATTTGAGTTGACCACACAGTCAGAGAGGCAAGGGATGAAGCCAGAGTTAATAGTACAAGAACCACTCTTTAAAGATATAAAATATGTCACAAGGAATCAAGTACCAAACTTTGAAGGCAAAATGTCTTATAAACTAGCATCTGAACCACAGATACCAAAAGCAGAATCAAAGAAACTGACTCCTGGGAAACACTTGGCAGGTGCAGATCATTCTGAGATGATCAGAAGAACATAGGCACAAGGTGTAGAATCTTCTACATTGATCCACAGACAGCATTTGGAACATATAAAACCTGTAGAGAAGATCACAGCCTCAAAGCAAGAAGAGTTAACGCCAGGGCCTCATTTGGAAGACAGGAAATCTATGGAGTTAAGGTCAAAGTCAGAGCTGGGGAAAATCATATCTATGCTGTCAACCCCGGGGATACAAGCAGGAGATAAGGAATGTGAGGAGCTGCCTCCGGGCTCCACCCTGAAAGGTTTAAAATATGAGTTACCCCCTTCAGCACCACAGTTAGAAGACAGGAAATCTGCAGTCTTAACTGTAGGACAATGTCCAGAGAAAAAAATCTACAGTGATATCCCCAAGTAGTTCCCAGTTAGATGGTATGAAATCTGTAAAGCTGATTCCAGGTTCAAGAATTCAAGATTTGATAACTGTGGGGTTGGCCAGTGATGCACGTGTTCAAGAAGTAAATGCCATGCGCTTAGAACTTGAACCAAAGAAGCAAGGGGAGAGTCCCATGACTTTTGTACCAGGGATGCTGTTTCAAGACAAGCCTATGGAGGTGTTGAAAGGGCCTCATCTACAAGATGTAAAACCCAAGGAACTGACCTCACGGCCACAAACACAAGATAGCAAATGTGTGATTATCTCATGTCTGAAGCAGCAAAATCTAAAACCTGTGAATAAAGCCAAAACACAAGGGATCCAAGAAGTAAAATTCATGGATTTAGTCTCAGCACAACACAACCATGGATTTAACTCTTGAGGCCGGACAGGATGACCACATAAGCTCAGCAGAGTGAAAAGGTGGGATGTTCGGCCACCTGAACAAACAGTTGGAGTCAGAAGAAATGCTGTCTATGGGGTCAGATCAAGAACCCAAACCTGCAGGTAGAAAACCCATAGAGCTCACCTCTAAACTACAATGTAAAGATGCACCCTCATTTGAATTGGCCCCTGAACCAGTTCATAATGTAAAAGCTCAAGAGGACCAATATGGGCCACAGGTGCCGAGTATGAGACCTTGTCCATTGACTCCAGAATCACAGGTGTACCAAGTGAAAGACTTGGAGCCAATGTTAGAGCCACCGCTCCAAGATGGGAGAACTGTGGCACTAAATACTGAACCACAAATTGGAGGTACAAAATCTGTGCAGTGGATTCCAGTATCTGAGTTTCAAAGGGAGAAATGTATAGGGTCAAACTTTAGGTTACAGTCTCAGAGTGCCAGCCCTACAGAATTGAAGCCGTCTACACAGCGGAGAGGTGTGAGGTCATCTGAATTGACTGTCAGGTCAAAAATTCAAGGAGAAAAATCCGGAGAGTTTCATCTTGAGTCACAGTTACAGCAGGTTAGCACTAGGGCTGCAGAAAACTAAACCTTTGAACTTAACTTCCGAGCCACAGCCTCAAGGGATCAAAACTGATCAGCTAAACAAAGAGACACAGGTAGAAAGATCTATCCAGTGGATACCAAGACCTGAATTCCGCGGTGTGACATTTACAGAATCAAATCATGAGCCACCATCTCCAGGTGTCAAATCTACAGAACGGAAACCATCCATACAACTGTAAGGTGTGAAGACATCAGACATGGCTCTAGGGCCAAAACCTCAAGGAAAAAAATCCGTGGATTTTAACCTTGGGCCACAAGTATAGTGTGTGAAGACCCCTGAGTTGTCCCCAGGACCAGAGCTACAAGAAGGGGAAATCATCACATCCACCTCAGAGCTACAGTCTCAGTGTGTGAAAAGTGTGGCATTACTTCAGGGACACAGCTTGAAAATACAAAATCTGTTCTTTGGATACCACTGTCTGACTATCAAGTTAATAAATCTACACTGAATCTTAGGTTACCACCTCAGGATGTCACAGCTAAAGAGTTAAAACCCTCAGTACAACTAGATGTGAAGACATCCGATGAGTTGACTACGAGGCCAAAGTCACAAGGTAAACAACCTTCAGGGTCAACCCAGGAACATCAGTCTCAGAGGTCCAAAACTACTGATTTTAAATCTGAGTTTTAGAATTATGAAAGCATGTGACCCAAAGTTAAGGTCAAAGATCAATAATATAAAATTGACATTCAAACCCAGGTTTTGCTTAGAAGACAGGAGCTCTCCTGGATTAAACCCTGGAATACAGCCTCAAGAAGTGAATCCCTTAGGGTCATCCCCAGGAACACAGCCTCAAACTGTGACACCTTCAGTGTTTAAACAAGAGTCACAGTCCTCAGAAGTGAAATATGGAGCAATAAGCCAAAGGCCACAATCACCAAACAATGTAGAGTTGAAATGTGGAAAATCTTCTGAGTTGGCACTTCAGGCAAAGCCTCAAGGTATGAAATCGGAGAAGAGCTCTGGGTCCCAGTGGCAACGTGCAAAATGTTCTGACTTGACACCTGAAACAGAGTCCCCAAATATGAAATGTACTAAGTTAAGTCGCAGCTCACAGTTGAAAGGTAAAGCATGTATTGAGTTAGCTGCGGGTACCAAAACTCAACGTGTCAAACTAGGCTGTAAACCTGGGCCACAGTGGCAAGGTATAAAATCTAACTCATTTCTGAGGACAAAGCCTCAAGAAATGGAAATGGAAGACTGGGAATCAGGCCCACAGTTACAAGATCTGAAATCTTCAAGGACAATCATGGGTATAAAGGTCCATGATGTCATGTCTGTGGACTTTGGTCCTGGACCACACTTACAAGGTATGACATCTGAAGTCATTACAGGGAAGAGGGTTCATGGTATGAAATCTGTAGAAGAAAAACCTAGTTCAAAGTTACAAGGTAAGAAACATGATTTCACCCCGAGGAAGATGTCCTTAGGTACAAAATCTGTAGAGCTGGACTCAGGCCCCCCTTTACAAGATTTGAAATATCCTGAGCTGATCATGGGCATGAAACTTCAAGGTGTGAACTCTATGGGACAACATGTCACAAGTATAAAATCTTCTGAGGTGGTAACACAGATAAAATCCCAAGGTGTGACAGCGGTAGACCTCAATTCTGGACCACAGACACAAAATAAAAAGCCATCTGAGTTGGTTCAAGGGAAAAGGCTCCTAGCTAAGGAGTCTGTAGAGTTTAATCAAGGCCCAAAGTTACAAGGTGTGACAGTGGAGTCCAAGCCCCCAAATGGGGAATCTGGGAAGTTAAACTCAGGCCCTCAGTTACAAGATGAGAAATATTCTCAGTCAATTCTGGGGACAAAGCTTCAATATGGAAGATCTATGGAGGTCAGTCCTGGCCTATGCTCACAGGGTATGAAATGAAGTCTTCCAAAGTGATTTCTAGGACAAACTTCAAAAAGAAAAACCCGTAGGCTTTGTGTATCAGCCACTGTGGCAAGATGTAAAATCTTTAAAATGGACATTTGGTAAGGCACTTGACAGGGAACCTTTGCAGTTGGAAACCGCTCATTTACAGGACAGGAAATTAACTATGCTAACATCAGAATTACACCTTCAAGGTATGAAACCTGAGTCAGTCAACTGTGTATCAAAGTTGAAAGGTGTGAAGTCTGAGCCCACATATATCCACACAATGAAGGATACAGGGATCAATCATGGTTCAGAATCACAGTTTGTGGGATTCTCTAAGCAGGCCTCGGACTCAAAGGTTTATAGCGTGGTTCCTTCTGAACTCAATGCCAGAAACCAGAAGCGAGATCGGAAGTCTCACAAATTAAGTCAAAAGCAACAACTTCAAAAAATAAAACAAATATCGTTCAGGGATGAGCCACATTTACAACATATCAAGTCATCAGAATTATGTACAAAGCTTCAAGACCTGAAATCTATGGAATTCAATTCAGAGCAACCGTTGCAAGATGTGATGTCTTCTGAGTTGGGCCTGAGAATAAGTCCTCAGTCTTTAGACGGCAACCCTGGGCCACATTTGCAAGAGATAATACCTTTTGAGGGGCGCACAGAAACCAAGTTTCCAGATGAGCCATCTCCGGAATTCAAGCGTAAGCCTAGACTGCAAGGTAGGCCATCCTGTGACCCGAGTGCAGGGCCACAGATTCACTGTGAAAATGTTATGGCATCCAACACCGGAACACAAAATGTAGAATTGTCTGAGTTGCACCCTGGTCCAGACCTTCAAGGTATAAAATCTAAGGTGTTCTGCCTTGGACCACACTTGGAAGATGTGAATTCTGCATGCACTCCCAATGCAAATTCTCAATATATAAACACCAGTGGGTGTAAACGTGGGCCATATTTGCAAAATATAAATTCCTCTGCTTGCATCCCAGAGCCAGACCCTCAATGTATAAAATCTGTGTACAATCCTGGGCCACATTTACATGGAATGAATTCTTCTGCATGCATTTTAGGACCAAAATTGCAAGGTGTAGATTATACTGGGTGTATCCATGAGCCAAACTGGCCAGATGTAAATTCTTCTGTATGCACCCCAGGGCCGAGTCCTCAGTGTATGAGTTCTTCTGTATGCACCCCAGGGCCTAGTCCTCAGTGTGTGAATTCTTCTGCATGCACCCCAAGACCAAGTCTTCAGGGTTTGAATTCTTCTGTATGCACCCCAGGGACAAGTCCTCAGTGTGTGAATTCTTCTGTATGCACCCAAGGGCCAAGTGCTCAGTGTGTGAATTCTATATGTACCCCAGGGCTAAGTTCTCAGGGTGTGAATTCTTCTGCATGCACCCCAGGGCCAAGTCCTCCCAGTGTAAATTCCACTGAGTGCCATCCTGAAGCACATTTGCAAGGTGTGAATCAATGGGCATCAATTCTAGGGCCACACATTCAGTGTGTAGGTTCTACTGGGCGCAATCCTAAATCACATTATCAAGGTGTAAATCCTTCCTCATGCACTCCAGGGCAAAACCCTCAGTGTGAACATTCCAATAGGTGTAGTCTTGAGCCACTTCTTCTTGATATGAATCATGGTAGAACATTTCCAGCACCACAAATTATGTGTGTAAATCCTGTTTGGTGCAATACCAAAACACATTTGCAAGATGTGGATTCTTCTGCCTGTACTCGAAGACAAGAGTCACAGTCTGTAAATTCTACCGGATACAACCCTGGGCCACATTTACAAGCCCCGAAACTTCAAGGTATGAAGTTTTCTGAGTCGAACTCAGGGACAGGAATTCAAGAGATACCCTTAATAGTTAACAAAGGACAACACGTGCAAGACCTGAAGTTTGAATCAATTCCAGGGTCAAATATTATAGATGTAGCACCTGTGGAATACAACCCTGGGCCACAGGTACAGTGTGTGAATTTTCCTGAATTGAATCCAGGATTAAAATTACAATGCATAAATCCATCGAAGCTTAGTTCACGGGCACAGTTGCAAAACATGAAGTCCTTTGAGTTGATGCCTGGATCAGAATCTCAATGTCCAAAATCTGTTCCGTTGAATTCTGGACCACCTTTTCAAGGTATGATGTCATCTCACTTAATGGTAGGGGCAGAGTTTCAAGAGATCCCATTTTTGAAGAACCAACTTGGGTCGTGGCAGGAAACTGCACAACCCACATTTACTTTGAGGCCTCCGTCAAATGGTGTGAAATCTGTGGGAGTTTCACCAACCCCACTGCCTGAAGATAGAATGTCTCCAGAGATGAGCAACCAGCCATTGCTTTGTTTGACAAATTCTGTAAAAGTGACACCTGGCTGCGGTCTGCAGGACGTGAGAAGTAAGGAATCTTCACCAGAACCTTGTTTTCAAAAAGTTAAATCTGTGAAGTTGAAGCCAGGGTCACCGACTCCAAGTGTGAACCCTTTAGAGTTCGCTCCACGCCACTGTTCTCAACGTACTAAGACTTCCTTTGCACCGAAGCCGTGTGTTCATGAAAGAAAGTCTATGCAGCTGAGACTAGGCTCCCAACAGCAAAGCATGGATTGCCAACAGTTTCCTTTAAATGAGAAACCAGTGGCATCGACCCCAGAGTCCACCGGAAACTTCTTAGCAGGCCCAGCACTGTCTAGTGTCAAATTTTCAAATTTGATTCCGGAATCACAGCAACAGTGCATGAAATCGACGGAATTTACTTCAGAGCCGAAGTGGCAAAGTGTAAACCATGTGAAATTGTCATCGGTGTCTCTGCCACAAACTGGAACCTCTAGGGGGTTATCACCAAGACCATTCCTTCAAAATGTGACACCTGGGAACCAAAATCCCCAAACACATCTATGTGATCAAACCATAGAATCCTCTCAAGAGATATATAGAGCAGGGCACCAGTTGGAGGACTATGCTGAGAAGATGAGGCACCAAGTCTCTAAATTGGTGGATATTATTTCATTACCAGTTTATCAAGATGCGGGGTCTTCAGAAATGACAAAAGGGTTGGGACATAAAAGCCCAGAAACAACAGAGAAACCTATGAGGTTGAACCCCAAACCAACAGATCAAGGCCTAGAATCATTAGGGATGCCTCAGCAGCTAGATCTTCAAGGACCAGAATCTGTTGATCTGACTCCAACACTAAGTGATCCAGATTCAAAGTCCTCAGAACTAACCCCACAGAGAAGCTGCTGGAGCCCAGAAACTCTGCAGTTGCTGCCTTGTTTGTGGCCTCAATTTAAAGATGTCAAGGAGTTACCAACAGAACAAGCCACAGAGTCTGATAGAATGACCCTCGACCTCAAGAATCATGTTGCAGAAGTAAGGATGCTAACTTGTGAGGTAAGACCAGGGAAAGAATTTCTTAGTGTGACTTCAAAGCCAGTAAATAGAGAGACTGGACATGTAGAAAAATCTCCAAGGCCGTGTCCTCAAGACTTAGGACCTGTGGTGGTGAGCTCTGGGAAAAGATCCCAAAGGGAACAATCAACATCAAGGCCATCCTATCACGTTCCAGATTCTGCTTCAGGGATAACACCAGGGCAAGGACCTCAGATTCCTGAATCTGTAAGTTTGACCTCTAAGCCACGGCTGCAAATAGAAGAATCCTTAGATTTGTCAACCCAGCAAATGAGTCAAGTTGTGGAAGATACAGACTGTGAGGAGCTCACTTTTGAGTCATGGCAACCAGGGGAGGAAGCAAGCAGGCTAACAAAGCCCCAGGGTGCAAGCATGGGAACTTTAAACATAACTCCAATTGAATCACTGGATCAAATGATAAATTTTATAACGATCAGTCCAAAGCAGCTAGGTCAAGGGACAGAATCCGCAAAGACACGGCATCATGTTTCTCAGTCAGCCGCTCTCCCCAAAGTTTCCGAATCTGTGGAAGTTATCCCTGGACCGCCGTTTCAAGTTCTAGAATCTGTGATGATACCAGAGCCAACTTCTCAAGGGTCAAAACATACTGATTTGACTCCCAAACTGCACGATGTGATAATGTCAGAATTTGCTTCAAGCCTTTGGTTACAAAATGTTCAATCCAAAAAATTAATCTCAGCACCAACACATCAAATTTTAGAAACAATACAGTTGTCAGGCTTTCAAGTTATAAAGACTATATTGGTTCCCAAACCACTGCTTCTGATTGTAAAATCTGAAGAGCTGGCTCCAGGACCAAATCCTCAGGCTATAGAACCAATAGGAGTTGCCACAAAATCTAGCATTAAAGTAATGGATGGTTTGAATTTACTCCCAAGATCACATCTTCAAGACATGGTAAAACCTATGGAACAAACTCCAAGGGCAAATATTCAAGAGAATTTTGCAGAATTAATCTTAGAGCAAACATCTCCACTTGAGGAACCTCCAGTATTAACTCACGAGCAAAGGCTTCAGGCTGAAAAATCTCTAGGGATCAGAACAGAATTTCCTAAAGTAATGGAAATTGAGGATTTGAATCAAAGACGGGTGTGTGAGGATAGAGACTCAGAAATGATAACATCAGAAAAGTTACAAGCACATGATTCCTTCTCTAGGTTCATACCCAGCCCTTCAATCCCATTTATTTCAAGTTCTGTCAAAACAACTGAGTTAGGACCCCTTCAGGGTTCTGGAATGCCGGAGGTATCAAGAGCCTTGGCTATGAAGAACTTTGCTGTTGGTATTTTGCCATCTCCAGAGTCCTATACAGACACTATTATGTTCCGTTCATCAGCCCTTCCCTTGGTTCTTCCCTCTGATATTGGGAACACTGTGGGAACCCTATATCCTGACATCTGGAAAATGGATGTCCTATCCAAGGAAGCAACCGAAAAGAAACAAATGGAAGAATCTGGGAATTCATTCCAGAGCTATTCTCCATATCCACTGAGATTACTACCCTCGGAGTTTCAGGCAGGATTAGGGGCTCGAAGAAATTCTATCCGTTCTTTCCTGGGTAGACAACAGAATGTCTGGGAAAGTCATGTCCGTAGGCAGTGACTCCCTAGAAAGTATCTCTCCAATATGCTGATGCTGGGAAATGTTCTGGGAACCACTATGGAAAGGAAGCTTTGTTCTCAGCCATTTTTAATGGATGGATATCAATTTATTCAAAGTTTATTTGGGGTTCCAGCTGAACTGATGGCATTTTCCCAGAGCCTACTAGAGAGGGGTCCTAGGACAATTTTACAGACTTCAGTGGTCAGAAACTATATTCAGAGACATATTTTATGCCATGGTCACGAGAAAAGAATGCCCTTAAAGATGTGGACACGTGGATCCACATCTTCCATATTACAGCAATACTCCGGTACCAGATTGGGAATAAAGAAAACAAACTCAAAACTAAGTGATATATTCCAGGAAGTCACTCAGCATGTGTCTGTCTCGTGTATAAGGGCCCAGTTTCCTGCCTTAGTGAAGCCGGAGTCTTCTCTCAAGATACTTTATAATAGGGAAGACCCTGTTTCCAGTGACCAGAATAAAGACTCACAGAGTGATTCACCGACAAGGACTTTTGACTCTCACCACTCCCTCAAGGCAAGTTGTCTTTCCCAGGCCGAGAGGGATATCTCAGAACAGCTCCATCTGCTAAAAGATCTACAGCTAAAAGTAGCAGCAAAACTCTTAGAGAGTCAAGTACCCCACAATGTCCCTCCACCTTTCTCATCGGGTCTTGTCCTGAAATATCCCATCTGCATGCAGTGTGGTCTATGTTCAGGAGTTAATTGCTGTCATAAGTTACAGTCTGCTTTTGGTCCATATCTTCTTGTCTACCCACAGATACACCTTTTAAGCACCCATGAAGGCCATGGTGAGATTCGGTTGCATCTTGGTTTTAGACTGAGAACTAGGAAAAGACCTCAAGTCTCAAAGCATCGTGGGAGAAAAAGCAGATACATGGAAGAGCACTACATCACCATCACGAAGGAAAGCTAAAATCTATCCTCCAGCTTCCAAGAGGCCAACTACTCCAAGAGATTTCCAGGCCCGATCTTCCCAGGCTTCTGTACAAGTGCACATTAGAAAAAAGCAACGGGGCAGCCATGGGGTGGTCCGCCAGACAGACGCCAAAGACTCTGAGCACCATGAATTCCGTCAGCTTCACTCTGTATCCGAGAGTGGCTTTGAAAGTAATCAGGAAGAAAAATGGTCGAAATCAAGCCTCAAAAAGACCTTTGACTTAAACTATCCAATGAAGAAAACCATCAAGGGACTTAAAACACAAAACACAAAGCTCTACAAAAATAGTGAAACCCCAGAAGAGAGTCCTTTTAGAATAATGTGTCCATCAAGAAGCAAGAGTATTGAAACCGTTCAAACAAGCACTGTTTCTTCGAAGACACAACCTGAGAAATCCTCTCAGGCCAAGTTCTACCAGCTGCTTTTCCAGGGCCTAAGGCAGGCATTCCAAATAGCACATAGAATTGTGGCTTATACTGGACAGAAGCCTGAGGACAGGACAAGGCCAGACAATTTGAGGTCAACCCAATACTTGCACCCCAAACAAAGAGCCAACAAGTATTGTTTAGCAGGAGATAGCAAAGGAGCCAGCACACCAGTTGCCCAGCAAAGGTCAGCAGGTGTGAACCCTAAGCAAGAGGACAGATTGCAGGGAACAGGTGACCAATGTAGACAAACTCAACAGCCAAAACAAGTGAGCTCTCTCCAACCCATACCTTTGCAATTGGAGACCATGGCTTCGGAAAGAGATGCCACTATCCAAATTACTTCAATCCTCCAACCTTGAGTAAAGTTCAAAATGTCATAGGCTTCTTCAGGGAGAGGGCCCTCCATAATAAGCCTTTTGAAAGGACCAATCGCATCCTTTGGGAGAGAATTCATGAAAGTCTCTCTGAGAGGCGATACCGCAGTCCTTCTCAGAGAAGGCATAGCAGTCCCTCTGACAGAACCCTTAGACATCTCTCTGACAGGAGTCATTGCAGTCCCTCCCCGAGACAGGATAGTAGTCCGTCTGTGAGAACCCTTCAAAGTATCCCTCCTGGAGCCATTACAGTCTCTTTAAGGGGATAGGTCGCAGTCCCTCAGGGAGGAGCCGACCCCGTCCTGGGAGACGCCCTAGGAGTCCCTCTAGGAGGTCTCTTAGTCCTCGAGAGAGAAGAGGACGAGAGAGAAGAAGCCACCGTCCCTCAAAAAGGTGCCATCTCAGTCCCATCCAGAGGACACGGTGCAGTCCTTCAGAAAGGAGCCATGGTAGTCTCTCTGAGAGAACCCCTCTCAGTCCCTCTGGCAGGAAAAGGCGTAATTCTTCTGGGAGAGTCCACCACCTTCCCTCAGAGTCCAGGCTATACAGGTCTTCTTCCAGACTCCACCGCAGTCATTCTGAGAGAACTCACTACAGTCCCTCTAAGAACAGACACAGTTATCCTGAGAGGAGCCGGCAAGGTCACAACGAGGGACCTCATCACAGTACCAAGGAGAGGCTCAGGGGTAAGGAGAAGCCCGGACATAGCTTGTCTATAAAGACTTCAAGACTTATAAACTCCTAGGGACTTATGCCTCCTAGGGACCACACCAAAAAAATCCAAAAGCTGGACAAGTTTGGAGACATGAAGTTAGTAGATAAGGAGAGACCTGCCTCTATTAATTATAGCCTGCGAATCTTCACCTAGCTGCCCTTTCTGCTCAGCCACTGCCTGCACCCTCAGCAATGAAAGAGCTCTCTGGAGGGGAGTGAGAATGGGTCTGTAATTTAAGATCAATAAAGGGGCAATAATCGAACTCTATTTGCATCCATAAGATCACTTGTTGGGTGGGTGGGACTAGGTGTGCAAACTGTGGGAACCCAAGGGTTGGAGTTCAGGAGGACCCCCTCACTTAAATCTTCAGACTCCGCCCACTTGCTCCAACCCTCCGGCCAGATGGCCTCCCTAATCCTCGGGCCGCCATGAGGGCGGGGTCTCAAAAGCATCAGGAGAGGAGTCGTCCTGTGACTTTCCCACTGCAGCCCCCTCGGAAGCTGCTAGGCGGAAGTAGAGGTTCAGAACAGGGCTAGTCGCTGCCGAGACCACATCCGGGAGAGTCGAGGAGAGCGGAAGTGGCGTTGGTCTGGCCGGAGCCCTTGGGTGAAATTGTTAGGCGTGGAGCGGGAGTGATGTCTTCCAGACTCGGTGCAGTCACCGCCGTGAGTTTCTTGGTGTGATCATTATACTTCAGAGATAGAACTGTCCAGCCGAGAACACCAGGGCCCTTGCTTTTGTCCCAAACTCGGAGTTGGTTTTATCAGAGCCCATCGTAGGCCCCACCCTTTTATATCAGAGCCACTTGCCCCCCTTTATCTCCCATTTTAGTTTTGCCTGTTCCCCATGTCCTCGGACTCAGTTCCTCGACAGATTGTAATTAGTTACCTTCCTTCAGCATCCCCAGTGCCTCCCGGTTCCTTTTCTTCTTATTTTTTCCCGTCTCCTTTTTCAATCCTTCCTCTAGGATAGGGCTTTGCGAATGGGCAAAGATGAAAGCTCCGGTATTGTCAGCCCGCCTTCACACTGTAGAAAAATAGGATGGCACACGTTTCCTAAGAAGTGTCACCCACCTTCCTTCCATTTGAAGTAGTTGCCTGCGAGAGCTTCCCGTCTAGGCACAAGGGGGTGTCATCTCTTTGTGGATGAGGTTCAAAGGTCCCTGGCACTCACTAGTGTGCTTGTGATTTGCTAGACCTCGGGACCCACAGCCCTTAAGCCACAGAGGAGCACCAGGATCGTGGGAGCTAAGAAGTAAGTGAGGTTTTCTGGGGACATTTTTGAAATTGTGTAGACAGTTCTGATAAAGATGTTTTGTGTATGCACTTTGGAACATCATAGCATAGATATTCTGCCACATGCAGCAGATTTGACTCCAAGTTCCCTACAAATCCTATGTCCATCCTCCTCTATCTTAGTGAAGGACTCATGAACTTTCACCTGCACTGTTGTGACATCATTCTACTGCTGCTTAAAAGAGGTTCCTAAATGCTAAATGATAAGCTGCCAATACACTGACATGCAACCCTCAAAAAGCATCTCTTCAGCTGGGTGGTGGTGGCAAACACCTTTAATCCCAGCACTCGGGAGGCAGAGGCAGGTGGATCTCTGTGAGTTCGAGTCCAGCCTGGTCTACAGTGAGCGAGTTCCAGGACAGGCTCCAAAGTTGCATGGAGAAAACCTGTCTCAAATCCCCCTCCCCCCAAAAAAGCATCTTTTCTCCCTCCCACTACTCCAAGTCAGCCTGCCATTTAGCAACTTTCTAGAATACCATGTTCTCAGATTGTACCTGGGAATTTTGAACACTGGTTGGTGGATTTAACAGGTCAGAACAGGTTACATCATAACACAAAACCTTTGCCATATTTACATTTAGCTGCGCATCTTAAAGCAGCTTCCCTGGAGATGCACAAAGAGTGTCCTTAGTCTTCCACTCCTTGAATGGGGGCACATAGAACCATCTAAAGAACCAGCTTGAGAATACTCTAGAACCCTGCTACTCGGTGTGGGCCATGAGCTGGGAACTTGTTGGAAATACAAAATCCTACATGCAAGTGCTCCAGCACCCTGGGTAATGAGAGTCTGTATTCCTAGCAGGCAAAGCATCACTGGCCAGCCCCAGTCAGGAACAACTGGGTCTAGAGCAGTGGAGGGGTCACATGCATGGGCATGTGGGAAGCCTGGGAAGGGGCCAGGCAGCAGGAATGAGGACAGGTTCTCTACTTACATCACACTGCTGCAGAATATGATTTCAAGGTTGTTACTTTTGTTTATACTGCATTTAACTCTGTGAAGCTGTGGTACTGTGCCAGTCTAGAACACCTGATGGTCTAATAAAGAACTGAATGGCCAATAGCAGGCAGAATATATAGAAGGGGAAATCTGGGAGGAGAAAAGAAGGAGCCAGAGAAGGAGGAGGACTCCAGGGGCCAGCCACCCAGCTACACAGCAAGCCACAGAGTAAGATTTACAGAAGAAAGAAAACAGGAAAAGCCCAGAGGCAAAAGGTAGATGGGATCAGTTAAGTTGAGGAAAGCTGGCTAGAAACAAGCCAAGCTAAGACCTAGCATTTGTAATTAAGAAGAAAAACAAAAAAACAAAACAAAAAAAAAAAAAAAGAATAAGCCTCTGTGTGAATTATTTGGGAATTGGTGGCTGCCCCCCAGAAGAATAAATAAGAAAAACAAACCAACGACATCACAGACTTCCAATGAGTCACTGCAGAGTGAACCTACAGCCGCTGTGGATACCACAGACTTTCCCCCAAATCTGTCAGGGCAGAAATAAACCCTCAGCACGTGTTGGCTTATTCACCTCCAGCCAGCTCTCCCACCTCTGCTCACTTCCCTACTTCTTCACACTTCAAAATAAACCCATGGAAAAACAGAACCAATCACATCAGCCCTCCATACCCCTCTCCATCTCTGCACTTGTTATGGTCACCAAGCTTCTGGCTCGACTTCAGTAAATTCTCCCAATAACCTGGAAGCAAGTGGTTTGCTGCTGCTGCCACTTTACAAACTAAAAACCAAAAAAGCCAAACAAGGCTTGCACAAGTAATTGTCAAGGTCACCCAGCAAGTGACTTATCAAGTTGATTGGGGGATGGGGGAGTACACAGCCATGTATATGTATGTGAAGGTCAGAGGTCAAACTCAGGCATTTTCTTCTAATTGCACTCTATCTTTTTCACTTATTTATGGTTGTTTGTCTTAAAGACAGAGTAACTGACTGGCCTGGAACTCTGCTATGTAGACCAGGCTGGCCTTGAACTCTCACAGAGATCTGCCTGCCATCACACCCAACTGTTTTGTAGGTCTCCACCGCTGTTTCAGTTAGACTGCACAGCTGGCACACTCTTGGCACCTGTCCACCTCCAGACCACCCCGCAGCGCTACAGTCACAGACGCGCACCTCCACACCTAGTTTTCACGTGGGTGCTGGGAACAGAACTCAGGACCCCATGCTTGCAGACCATGCGCTTTACCCCTGAGCAGCTCCTGGCTCTGGGGCTGAGCTTTGGTGAGGTGATGACACGGGAGCAGTGCGGTGGCTAGAGCGCCTCCTACAGGCCAGCACCATGTGCACACTCAATCCGGCCAGCAAGGCGTGCTGCCCCGTGCACTCTGCAGATTAAAAACTGCAA